ATCGATAATACTACGAAATTAACTCGTATTGGTTCTCTTTCCGATTCTAAAAATTATTTTTCGGTAAAGTTAATATCTGGTGATTCACCATATCACAGAATCTTGAAAGACTTTCCTAAAGTACTGAAGTTAAAATCCGATTCGTGTAGAGTAAAACATAGTACGGTTCATTACATCGAAACATACGGTCCTCCTGTGCACAGTAAACCGCGTAGGTTAAGCCCTAAGTTATACGAAGCAGTAAAAAAAGAATTTCAATTTATGATAGATCAAGGTATTTGTAGACCATCAAAATCAGCATGGTCATCACCTCTTCATGTAGTTTCTAAAAGTTCGGGCGACATACGGCCAGTAGGAGACTACCGAAAACTAAACGCGTGCACCGAACCCGACAGATACCCTATCCCGCATTTACAAGACTTTAATAATACGCTTAGCGGAAAGACAATTTTTTCAAAAATTGATATCGTTCGGGCATATCATCATATACCAGTCCATCCAGATCATATACCGAAAACTGCAGTTTGCACCCCATTTGGTCTTTTCGAATTTCCGTTTTTAAATTTCGGACTGTGCGGAGCAGCTCAAACCTTTCAAAGGTTTATGAACGAAATTCTTGGAGATCTAAAATTCGCCTACGTCTACTTAGATGATATTTTGATATTTAGTCATACGGAAGATGAGCATAAATCTCACCTACGTACTGTTTTTGAAAGATTAACTTCATATGGATTGACAATTAACGCTTCGAAATGTGTTTTCGGCGTTCCGGAAATATCTTTTTTAGGCCATATAATCAATAAAGATGGTACCAAGCCTCTGACGAACAAAGTGGAACCGATACTTAACTACCCACTTCCTAAAACGGTAAAAGATTTGCAGAGATTTTTAGGATTTTTAAATTTTTACCGTCGATTTTTACCCAACGTAGCCCAGAATCAAATACATTTAACTTCGTATTTAAAAGGGGCTAAGAAAAATGATAAGACAATCCTGAATTTGTCTGAGGAAGCGCGGAGTGAATTTCAAAAGTGCAAACAGCTAATCGGTAATGCTGTTCTTTTGGCACACCCGAAGAAAGATGCCCAGTTGGTTTCACAGGTTGATGCGTCAGACTTCGCGATCGGTGGAACGCTATCACAAATAGTTGATAGAAATTTACAGCCTCTCGCATTTTTCTCACGAAAGCTTTCGCAGGCGGAAAGGAACTATAGTGCGTATGATCGAGAGCTATTGGCAGCTTATGCTGCTATTAGGCATTTTAAGCATATGTTGGAAGCACGGAACTTTTCTTTAATCACCGATCACAAACCGCTCACGTATGCATTCCGACAGCGTTTGGATAAGTGTTCACCTCGTCCGGCTAGGCAGTTAGACTTTATCTCACAATTCACCACTGAAATTCGCCATATAAAAGGTTCGGAGAATATCGCTGCCGACGTACTTTCGCGTATAGAAGCAATAAGCATGCCTAACCCTATCGACTATGAGGAAATCGCTAAAATGCAAGAAATCGACACAGAATTACAAACATTGCTTAAAGAGTCAAAAGTTCTACATCTCAAAAAAGTTACCTTACCGAATTGTAGCTTTTCGATATATTGCGATGTGTCAACAGGTAACGCCCGTCCTTACATTCCTCCGGCATTCCGTGAGAAAGTTTTTGCCACCTTGCACAATTTGTCTCACCCCGGCATTCGCGCATCAACAAAGTTAGTATGTTCACGGTTTGTTTGGTCTTCCATCCGCAAAGATTGCGCGAAATGGGCACGGCAGTGCATTCCGTGCCAGAAAGCAAAATTAAGCAGACATACTAGAACCCCGTTAATGAAGTTTCCAGACCAATCACAGAGGTTTGATCACGTCCACCTTGACCTTGTTGGTCCCCTACCTCCTTCTCAAAATAATTATTACTGTCTAACTATGATATATAGATTTACTAGATGGCCCGAAGCAGTACCCATACCAGACATAACAGCACGCACAGTAGCACAGGCTTTCTATGACCACTGGATTACTCGATTTGGTTGTCCGACTGTTATTACTACCGACCAAGGGCGACAGTTTGAAAGCGGCTTATTTCGAGCCCTTTCCCAATTATTGGGAATCAAGAGGATCAGGATGTCTCCGTACCACCCACAGGCAAACGGACTGATCGAGGAATTCCACCGTCCTTTGAAAGCTGCCTTAAAAGCGCACGATACCAGTGACTGGGTGGCTGCCCTTCCAACGCTGCTGATGGGTTTCCGCGCCGCTCTCAAAGAGGACATAGGAGCAACCACTTCTGAACTGGTGTATGGAAAGACTATCCGTCTCCCAGGAGAATTTTTCAATCCGACACCTCCGGATGCGTTCCCCCAAACAGTTTGTGGAGGATTTAAAATCTCACTTTGCCAGTGTCCGCCCGACCACGACTTCTAGCCACGGTCAGCGAACATGTTTCATTCATCCACGCCTTCACAAGTCCACATATGTGTTTGTTCTACACGACGGAGTTAGAAAACCACTTCAAACTCCTTATGATGGACCATTTAATGTGCTAGAAAGACGAGATAAAACGTTTGATCTCGAAATAAAATGGACTAAGCAAACGATCTCCATAGATAGACTGACACCCGCTTTTGTAACCATGGACTCTTTTCAAGTTGCTTCCAAGAGTGTGAAAAAAACTTCGGACATTTGTATCACCCGTTCTGGACGATTAATCCGACCCCCGCATCGGTATGTCACATTTCGTTGACACTGCGGAGGGAGTATGCAGCGGCAGCGCCAAACAGGCGATACGGACTTAAAAACTGTACAGAAAAGCGCCAATTGGTGAAACAGTAAACCCGTTTGGCAAACATACAGGCTGACGGGGAGAGAAGAATTTTCCCCGGCAGTCAAGGGGAACTACTTCAACAAATGTGTGCGTCTCTGTTTCGCCGAGATATGTGAACTTGTGTACTCGCATCTGTACTGTGCTCTGAATTTCTTAAGCCGTTATAATGTACCCGGCAACTGTTACTTTTCCTTATTAAATTTGATTATTAATTGTAACATGTCTATCTTAACTAAGATTTCGGCTTTCCTAGTTAATGTTGGTGTATGCCGTTTTCTCCCGTACATAGACCCGTCTGATGGGTACCAGGGTTAACAATAAGGAATTCAGGTGCTATATATATGTTTGCGGATTAATAAAGGCGGATGGACTGAAAAAACAGGCGGAGCACAGCCTCAGACCTGTCTCGACAGCTCTCTTCAGCCACTGGTACAACAATTTCAAGGCAGACCGTGTACAGATACTTAGGGAAGATTGGTCTATATGCTCGTATACCTGTCAGATGCGTTCCACTTACTGCAACTCACTGTCGCCTGTGGTTAGCCTGGAGTAGAGAGCATGCATTGTGGACACAGCAACAGCGGGCTTGTGTGATGTTTTCTGACGAGTCCAGGTTTAGCTTGCAGTCTGATTCTCCCCGGACTTTCATATGGAGAGCTCCAGGTACCCGTTACGATCAAGAAAACATCATTGAACGACACCGTTACGGTGGTGCAGGAGTGCTCGTTTCGGGTGGAATTATTCTGGGTTCCAGAACTGACCTGCATGTTCAAATTGGAACCATGACAAGCCAAATCTATCGGGACGTCATTCTGGAATAACATGTACGTTTGTTTCGGGGCGCCATGGGCGCACAATTTGTGTTTATGGATGACAACGCCCATCCTCACCGTGCAAACATCGTAAGCGAATACCTTCAATCGGAGGATATCACCCATATGGACTGGCCAGCGTTCTCACCAGACTTGAATCCAGTAGAGCACGTGTGGGACATGCTTGGTCGACGAGTTGCAGCCCATCAACCTCCTCCTACATGTCTACCGGAACTTTGAGCATTACTTTGAGTGGTGTAATATCCCCCAAGATCGATAATTTGATACTCAGCATGCCTAGGCGTTGTACGGACTGTATTGCATCGTCTAGAAGACATGCGATGTATTAACAATCATACCAACCATGTAATATTGGTTTTTTTGTAAAAAGGTTGTTTTTTTTGGGGGGGGGTAATTTGCTCCAGGGAGAAAAAATTACTAATTTTTTTAATAATATCAAACATATAGCATCTTTTTTTGCACTTTACCTTTTGTTTAATAAATAAGCTTTACAAACAAGCCAAATTTGTTTTGCTTCTAACTCTTCCTTTGCCTGATTTTGCATTATCCTTAATTTATGGACATGAGTGTATTTTAGTACTGCATTTACTCTTCATTTACTAATTTTCCATAGCTGTAAGTATGGCTTTCTGTCCATTGCCTGAGACATGCAGAGATGTCATAAATTTTGTATGCATGCAAATAATTTTAATGAAATTGTATGTAAAACTGTAGTATCTCTTATAATGTGACATGAAAGGCATCAGAATGCTAAGTATCATCAGAAAAATAGGGTTATAGAGGCTAAGTGCATATTGAGGTAAATGGTGAAAGAGCGACAAACTAACGATGGTTTTGGCAACTAAATTTTGTTGCCATTTTGTATTTTACAAAATGTTAATTATACAAATATTTTATTTTTTTATTTTTATCATCTTGTAAAATCTACCAAAGAATTGCAATTCCCTCATAATCATTTTTGCATGTTATTTAATATTTTTTTTAAGTAAGTATGTAACATTTAAAATTATTTTTGCTATTATGATAATAACTAAATGTATAAAATTGAAACCATGATTTTAAAATTAAATGCTCTTACCACCAAATGGTAAACATACATTAATGAAAGTGAGCATGATTAATTTTAATATTAATAGCAGGCTACAAAATAGTGCTATTCATGTATAACAAAACACTCTTTTCTTCTGGTATACATGCAGATGAATCTATTTACCAAGCAAAAATACACCAGATTTCATCATGAACCAATATACCACAAATTAAAAAATAAATAAATAAATAAATAAATCTTAAAATGTTTATTTGTTCAAAAAAAATTATCAGGAATATATGGAACTAAATATTACCGTAGAAGCATTTTCCAAAGGTCCCTCATGACTGCTGGGCACTGGTACTTCACCTGCATTTTTACTCTTTTTAGCCTTTTTTGGTTTTGGAGATTTCGGAGGTTTGGGTGATTTAGGGGGCTTTTTTGGCTTCGGCTCTTTAGGTGCACGTCTTTTCATTTTGGGTGGAGGTTCATCATTGAAAGTCATTTCATATGGATCTGGTGGCACATCTAATTTTTCAGGTAAGGATAAAGTAGGCATGCCTTCAGACACTGATGCAGAGTAATGATTAGGCATCATATTTTCTGCATCATGAGACCCCTACAATTCAGAGAAAACAAGAAACAATTTCACTAAAAGCACAGTAAGAAAATGAAACATTTTACTGCTATTAAATAACTAAATCAACATTTTTTTCAGAAAATCAGATAAAATGCACACAACCTAAAGACTATTTTCATATACAAAATTTTAAAATGTTTTTATAGATACAGATCTATTTTGTTTAATAAATGAGTCAGAAGTTTTAAGCTTAATTTTCGGTTATGAGCTTTGGAAATAGCTCTACCAGCTAAGGAGGAGAAACTCTATGGATAATATGTATTTCTTGTAATCGTTAGCATATTAAAAAAAAATTAAGAGATGAATATTTTCAAAAAAGTTTTAAACACATCAATGATATTTGCACCATCATTTTCTTGACACATATCACTTCACAAAAGGTCAGATATTGTTGTTATTAATTACATGACACCTTAATTTTCAAATGGGAATTTTCTTACAATAGTAACAACAATGCTGGTTTTTGATAAGTTATATAAATCATACAGGAATGATAAAAAATGCTAAAACTTATATGGAAGCACAAAATAATAAATGCTTAGGCTTTTATAAGTGACAAATTAAAAATGAGGTTAAATGGATTTCAATGTATGCTAGGATGCACATTTAAGTAAAAATATTTTCACACAGCCTAACTTGATAAATGTAAAAGAACTTCATGGAAATTGTCATCATTTATGAAAAGCTTCAGCTTAATTTTAGAACAAAAATTGAGAGAATAAACAAAATTATTAATTATTGAACATTATTTTTTTTTTTACTTTTCAGATCTAAAATTAAAAAAAAAAATTAAATAGATCTTTTTAAATGAAAACTTTCTTTGTTCAAATAATGTACACTAGATATCATAAATTAAGGGAAAATCACAAAAATAGCGATAACTCCCTCAAAAATAAGCCAAACCGTGTAAGATCTGAATATGTTGACAAGTAAGAGTAGCTAAGTAAAACTGTGATATGCAAATTACTGGCGCTGCTTTCGGAATATGTCACCTGCAAGAGCGTAAAAGTCAATGTTTGAGAGAAAGCCCATATTTCACTGTGACAGTGATCAGAAATCTGAGATAACCAATTCGAACAATGACCCAGGATCATTTGCCTGCAGAACTGCGATGGGGAGCACTGGGAGACTAAAGGCAAGACAAAGTCAAACAGAAGTGGCCAGATGGCTAAATGTGAGTCCTTCTGTGGTTCATAGACTTTGAGGCAATTTCAAACCACAGATTCGGCACTCAGGAGGTTCAGCCAAGGAAGCCAACTCCTACGACGGGCACCGATGACCGATATTGGACATTATGTGCATGCAGGAATAGAACCGCTACTCCGACTCTTCTTAGATCCTCCCTTGCTGTAGCCAGCGGAAGGTTCGTGTCAACATCAACTGTGCGTAGAAGGCTTCACAAAGGTATAGTCTATGCGAGCCGACCAGCCTTTGTGCTATTTCACGTCACGCCTAGGAGGGGACCGTTTTCAGTGGGCCGACAACATGTCCCTGGACGCGATCAATGGAGGGCGTTCTCTTTACGGAGAGTCCAGGTTTAGTTTAGAAAGCGATAGTAGGTGTTATTTGATATGGAGGCAAACCTAGAACCCGTTATCATCCATCAACATCCATGAGAGATTCATACGGAAGGGGATATGTGTTTGGGGTGGCATCTCTTGGTGGACGCACAGACCTCATGTCTTTCCAAGGGGAACCGTTAATGCTCAGATTTATAGAGATGACATCCTTGATGTTTATGTGCGCCCATATGCCGGGGCAATAGGTGATGCTTTTCTGTTACAGGATGACAACGCAAGACCACACAGGGCTTGCATCGTAGATGATCCTCTTCAACAGGAAACAATTATGCGCACGGAGTGGCCAGCTCGATCTCCGGACTTGAATCCTATCGAGCACGTTTGGGATGCTTTAGGGAGACGTCTAGCTGCTCTCAATCTGCCCTCTCAAACCCTTGTCACGCTTGCAACTGCTTTGCAAGAGCAATGGCTCTCACTTCCTAGGGAACTGATAGACCGCATAACTGAAAGTACACCTCGCTGATGTGCTGTATTGCTTCTAGAGGCGATCATATTCCCTATTGAAGGTACTTTTCCTATAACAAACTGACACCTTCGATTTGTTCACTTTACACATGTGCTAATTTCTATACTACCATATTTGTCTGGTAATTTCTTTTTATGTTATTTGATACCTTACTATGTGTTGTATATTGTGGGTAAGTTTCATTAAATTCTACATGTAACATTTTTAGTAATCGTGATTTTTGTGATTTTTCCTTAATTTATGATAACCAGTGTATAACAAACCACACACAAATCATACATTCATTCTAATAATACCGGAATTAATGCAAATAAAGACTTATCTGTGAGGGTATTTAGACATTTATAATAGTATAAATTGCAAGCATTTCTTGCATATAAAATCTACATAATTTCAAATCATCTAAAATTTTTGAACAAAATAACTGGCACTATAAAAATTAGTTAACATGAAACTTTTATTTGTAAACGAGAAAATATGATTCTACTCCATTACTTAACATACAAAATGAAGAATTTAAATTGCTTTACCTGTTCAGTAACAGTCAAATTGTCAGATATTGCTGCATTAATATTATTAACACTTATGTTCTGCTGTGTGCTTGGCGTTGTAACATCTTGAGTTGCAGCAGGTTGCTGAGCTGGAGGATTATAATGCACTGTATGAGGCTGCATCACAGGCTGATGTACGTAAGAGGTTGTGTTCCCTGAGTTATATATAATTGGTCTAGGATAATGTGGCGACATTGAAGTAACATTATTACTTAATGCAGCTGCACTGGAAGTTGAATTATTTTGCTGTGTTTGTAAAAATCTTAACCTTTCTTGCAAAACTTTCATCTGAAAAATTAAAATAATGTTTTCAAAAAATGAAAGGGGTGTTTTAAAAATAATAATAATGTCACAAAATATACACATATAATGTACACTAAAACTATAAAATATTAGAACAATTATATGGCATTAAAGAATTTAATAAGAGCATAAAAAAGTTAATGAATATTACATAAAATCAAACTTCATTGCAAATATAAGATAGTTGCAATTAAATTTTAATTAATCAATGTCTTTTAAGCTTAACCAGAATGGCATCAAATTTTTTACTTATACTAAACAGACAGAAGAATTTCACACATTAAATAAAAAAAAAAAAAAAAAAAAATTAAAAAAAAAAAGGTCAAGGAAGAAGGAAAAAGAAAAGGGAAAAAGGGAAGAAATAAACTTACAGAAGTAAAAAGAAATCCAAAGCCTACTTGAAAGTGGTAACACAGTGGTAAAAAGTAAATACAAGCTTTCCACTTTATTTTGCTGAAATGCTTATGGCTGAGGAAAATTATCCTATCACTGGCAATTAAGGAAGTCTTGTTATTTCAAAACTGATATTGTTCAAGCCTGTCTAATGCTTAAATGCAGCTGAAGAATTTGTTTTTCAGAGTGTTTTTTCTGTTACTTCATTTAAATTAGGCATTTTTGATATTCATATTTCTTTTCTCACTTGATCTAAATTCAGTGTAATACATGATTAAGGAGTTTCCTTTTAAATTCTAGTATTCTTTACTAAATTCAATGAGAATATTATTACTGTTTTACTGAGAATTACTCCATCAAATGAAGAATATTTGTTTTTAGCTTGTAAAATAACAGAAATTACACATAAATTAATATTTATATAGGGCAAACTCGGAGTAAAAATTTTATGAAGTAAAACACTGGAAAACTTTTATTATTTATGCAAACCACAATATATTTATTTCTGCTTTATAAGAGATTGTGGTTGATAAGAAAATGTGTTTCATTCACTTTTTTGAAATTCCATACTAGGCCTGCAACTTAATATTTACTTTTATTTAATTTATTTATTTTTACTATTTTAGCTTAGAATCAAATTATGATAATTTACATACTTTATATATACAAATGAAATTTGTGTACGTTGTATTTTATATATCCACACACATGTATATCTCTTACATACATACAAGTCAAAATATGTACATATGTGAGTCTGTAGAGTCCATCAGACAAGTAAGGATCACAACCATCAGATGAATAAAAATCTTCCGTCTTTGATCCATTTCCTCTTGAACCATCAGAGATACAAATTTAAAGCAATTGTATCTGACACAGGAGATTCTTTGGAAAAAAACTCAAAATTTCTGCACTTAAATTTTTGTTTTATAATCCTGTTGTCACAAAAGTAAGGGGGTTTCACCAATATCTGTGTTACATACAACTTTTAAGAAATCACTTACTGGACAAAATTATTGTTCTCGGAAAAGGTACTATTATAAATAGAGACACATACTCTGAACAGCCATTACATTATGACCACATTCCACCTATAAAAATAGGCTCGCCCAGGAACAAAACCACTGCAAGTGCACAGCTGAAGTTGAAGTATATAAAGGAACTATGCATTGTCTTTCTAAACATAGCTCGATTAGACCACATAATGGGAAAAGCAGCTGATTTATAAGACTTTAATAAAGGTCAAATCATGACGGCTCAGCGAGTATGAACATCAATAGCAGAAATGGCGCATTTAGTGGGGCCCTTCACGTGCAGTTGTTGTGAGCACATACCGAAAGTTTATGAAATGTGAATATTTGTTACATTGCTACGTATTGTTTGCCATGACCGAAGAGCTACAACATCCAAAATCACCACCAGCTACAACAATGATGATCCAGACAGTGTTTCTCACCATACTGGGCAGCATACATTGCTGCATATGGGCCTACACAGCCTGAGGCCGAAGAATGTCCCTGCATTGACAGCACGTCATCAGCAACTGAGTCTGCAGTGGGCAAAGAAGCATCGGAATCGAACATTAGAAAAATGGAAGAAAGTTATATAGTCCAATGAATAACGTTTTCTGGTCTATCACATTGATGGGTGTGTGCTAATATGACGATTTCCAAATAAAGCCCTGGCTCCCAGATGCACAGTTGGACGGAGACAAGCTGGTGGAGGGGGTATTATAGTGTGGGCAATGTTTTCGTGGAGCACATTAGAACCCATAATCGCCATAGAACAATACCTGACATCTGTGCACTACATGAACATCATTGCAGACCAGGTTCAACCATTTATGACAACAGTATTTCCGACGGGGGATGGTGTTTACCAACAGGATAATGCATCAATGTCATAAGGGTCGAAATGTCACGGAGAGGTTCGAGTAACATTCCAGTCACTTTCAAGCCATGTCTTGGCCTCCACATGCACCTAATGTTAATCCAACACAGCATTTATGGTCCCACCTGAAAAAGCAAATTCATGCTGCCACACTACCCCCCACCATGGGCGGGAACTGCAGGACTAATGATGTTGATGAGCGCATGATACCAGATACCTCAGACTACCTATCAGCACCTTATGGGGTAAATGCCATGGCGGATGCTGGCAGTTTTGAGGGCTAAATGTTATTAACACAGTAGTCATAATGTAATGGCCCTTCGGTGTATGAAATACTCAATAAAGATATTGAGGAAATTAAACTGTGTTACAGACTAAAAACTCAGTTCTTATCTATAAAAAGAAACAAATACTAGCACCAGCAAAAGTGTTATTTTCCTCCACAATACAAAAGCTATTAATGTTTTACTAGAACTGTTGAAGCAAGTAATTATTTATTATTATTATTATTATTATTATTATATCGGGACAGAATTAAAAAATGTAGGTACTGTTCTGTTATTGGGACCAAATATATATACATGCATACATGAACACATACATACATGCATAAATACATATATTTCTGGATCCAATCCCCCTGATGGCAGAACACTACCGAAATGTATGTATGCATGCATATATGTGTTCATGTATACAAGTACATATATATGTATGTACTGTATGTATAGGCAACACACATATACACACATTTTTAATTTGGTCCCAATAACAGAAGAGTACCCTTTTTTTAATTATTGATGATTTGTTTGGCATTGTGAACAGTAATGTACCATTACCTCCCACCAATAAATGTTTAAAAGCTGCTTTCACCTTTAAAAGATTATCACCAAGATTAAAAAGAAAAATGCTATAAAGCAAAATTCTTTACTTCAGAATACATGGAAAGAGGACAATGCTGTTACAAAAAAACACCATCATATCAATAAATGTACTATTGGACAATGTAAAATCTGTAAATATTAAATACAATGTTTAATTATTCTAAAGCCCTAAAGTCCTCCCTCACGATTCACACAATTATTGGAGAGAGGTCAACGTAAAACACGAGCAAAGAAAATAGCATTTAACATCATTTGGCCTTTAAAACATACATTTTAAATTAATATGAATTTAGAAGAAATACAGCAATAGAAGATATGTAAAGTGCCTAAGATTTTTTTTTTTTTTAATTTCAGTGATGATCAATGAAAGCAACAGTAAAAATATACGTAGATTTTATTTCTGCTAATTTACCTTTGCTTGCATTCTTATAGCTCCTTGGGTTGGTTTTGGTTTCTGTGATTATAAAGGGCTATCTGCCCAAAGCGAGAGACACCTTCGTGGATGGCTTTCTAAGGGAAACTGGCTAGTATACACATTACACATGGGGAAAACCATGAAAACACCCATGCAACCAGCCCGTTCACAGGATTCGAGCCTTGGACAAACTATCAGAGTTCAGTGACTTCACTGCTTGGCCGCTGGTGGGCCTATAGCTTCTTGAAAGGTATCTGGTAACACCCAAGGAGCTATAAGAATACTGGCAAAGAAATTTATAGCAGCTTATAATTTTGTATGAACGCAAGGCTGCATTACAGGAAAATAGCATTGTTCTTCCATTTCCAAAGTCCCTGCAAAGTAGATATGTCAATAGTGTTTCAATACACAATGGAAACCAATCCTTTTTATAAAAATAGTGGCATCCAAATCCAAGATGCCAACTCTACTGTAATAATGGGAAAATTTGGTTTTCTAAAAGTAGTCCATGTTGATGGCCACTCAGAGAACAAGTAACAAGGCTTTCATGATTGATTTCCTTAAAAAACAGAATGCTGACAAAAAAAGCTGCAATAAATGCATACCACACAGTGACCATGGAGAGTTAAAGAGGCACCTTATTTGAAAGTAGCAATATGAAACATGAGTAATTTTTCTAAGAAATAACATTTCATGGTGTGTTTCAAAATTTTTCTCAACATACTTAAGTATTTGTTGATAAACAAATGCTACAAGAGCTTTTAAATAAGAACTGTTATTCTGATAAAATACTATCAATAGCATGATCTTTTAATGATAAAGGCGCTGCAATACATTCATATGTTTCACAAGCAATGGAAAATACATTCCATGGTTAATCTTACACTGTCCATGTCAGTGATATGCATATGTCCACATGAAATAATCTTCATCTTCTGGTACCATTTGTTCAATATTTGTTAGTTTAATGTCACTGGTGAGGCTGAAAAGTACCAAACCAAAGCAGTGTTCTAAAATTTATACAGGTGCTTAAAATTTCAATTTTCAAGTGATTAGTGTTTCAACTTTGGTGAAGACTTTTGGTGGATAGAATACCAATGGCATGCATGGCAGATAATTACTTTTAGTCTGGGTATTGTATTTATGAAGATCTGAGTAAAATGAGTTTCAGTTAATATCACGAGTCTATGATTATTTATCAAAAAATCTCTGCTGTAGACAACAGCAAACAAATAGTACACTTTAGAGACGGACAAACAGGTACATATCCCAATGACACAATGAACAATTTTTAACTATACTTTTTACTTATTCCTTTCTAAAAGACTTAAAAGGGTGTCATAAAGTGCTAACTCGGTAAATGCAAAGAAAATAAGGATAAACATATATATGAATTAGTAAACCAACAATATCAACAGTCAAGTAAAGTTGTTCATGTAATTATGTAATACCTAAAACAAATGCAGAAGTTAGAATAGGAATCATTTGAGCAGCATTCAGTTCTCAGAAAAGAAGTGTCTGAGCTTGTTTCCCATCAACTGTCACTATGCCTTGTAAAATTTCTGCTCTGACAGAAATCAAGCTTTAATATACATAATCAATCATCCAGAATTTTACTGCTTGTTTTCTGAACATCTCTCAATTTTGCAATTTGCAGATTTTTAACAATGTCCAAAACTTCTTCCAAACTAACCATTTGAGATGACAGTTCATTCTTCCTCATTTACACATCCACTATATGCTCACTACATAAAAGTTCTTCTATAATTATATTTTCTGATGAAAGGCTTCTGCAAAATAATTCTTAACACTAATTTTACATCTTTTCATGATGAACACAGCATATAATGACACCAAATATAGAAGCCATAAACATCTGTAATTCCATTTGTAGAGATGTGAAAATTAATTTAATACAAATTTTTATCCAATAAATCATTTCTAAATCCAGAAGCTGAAGCATACTCACTAAATTAGGGGGTTAGTCAATTAACTGCCTATACACATGGAGAAAACTCAGAAAATTCTATATGACCAGTCAATTTGCTGATTCAGGAATACCTACCAGAGTTCTAACAAACTAGCAGGAAAATACTAGTTTTGCAATACTTGGCCATTGGAGCTAAAGATAATGAGCAGCACACTAATCCATGAATAAAAATTACTTGCTTTCTCTGCCCTTCCATTTTCCTGTCAAACTTTTTAAATGAATTGCAAGAAAATATCCAAAATCATTTGAGCTCTCTTCCAACTGCAATATTCACAAGGCAATTTTTTAGTTTTGAAACAATGTGAACTCTGATTTATTAATGATTAAAAGCATAATGTTTCAGTCACAAAAACTACAACAGGAGAGTATCTCTCCACTTTTTCCTCCACTGTGACAAATTTCACCTTTGAAAGTTAAAAATCTATTTAGAATCATTCTGAACAAAATAACAAGTTTAAACATAGGTGTAACTGTATGTCTTAACCACTTGCGCTACGACTAAACTTCACAGTTGCAATGCCGTGCGCTACAATATAACAAGCGGTAACGTGTCTTATTTACGCCGCTACGCGTCTGCGAGTGCAATCCAATCATCTGTAATTCGAGAAATAAACAATTTCATTGTTAGAAGACGTGTGCACCACGTTATTTTCATTTTTGCAATAAATGCCTATCAACGTGGTGTTCCCGTCGCTCGCGGTCTGAGAGTCACGTCTTTTTAGCACAAGTGGTTAAGGTTCGTAATCTTTCACAAAATACAAGAAACTATTCTATTAACATTTTTCAGCTTCTATATCCATGTAAATGAAGAGGAAAATTTTTCCATTCTGAAAGTCTGAGCTAAAGTTACAGATTTCTCTTTCGTTCACTCACAGTGACAGCAGGGCTTAATTTCTAAGATTAGAAGTGCCGGAGCCCTATGGAAGACTGTCAGCAGAGAGGAACAAGAGTAAATAAATAAATAAAAGACTATTAAACTATAATAATTTAAAATTAAATAGTTTAATTATATCAAATTAATTATATTTTTTAAGTTTATAAATTGTTATTTAATCAATAATTATTATATAATTAATTCATTATAATTAATTGATAATTATTAGATAATCAATTATTATTTTTAAAATAATTAAGGATTGAAGAAATTAACTAATTAAAATTAAATAACATGTAAAGATAAATTGAAATTTAAATATGCAATTTTAATGTAATTTTATTGTTAAAATAAAATTTTGAGATAAAATTTCTACTGAAATGCATCAATTAATAAAAGAGGCGAAGCTCTTATTCAGGGCTCAATGCGTTCTGCGTTCTGCTAGATTATGATTTATTACAAAAACTAAGAAGGCCGGAGCCGAGATCCAGTGGGTTCCGGCCCAATTTAAGTTCTGATCGTAGGGGGGG